AGTCTAAATGAAAGTTATAGAGCATAATCTCACCTACGCATGGATATAAAGAATGTCAAAAATGGAGCTTGTATGCGAAATATATGAATTTATGAAGTTCGGGCACGAACTTCCACCACTATCAGAGTTCACTACGTGAATAGGGTGTTCACGATGTGAACAGGTGATTGACACCTTCCAGAGCAAGTGGACTGATGACAAACGCCATGACCTGAGCAGGACCAAACTCACCATGTGTACATTTGAGGTTCACGACATGAATCCAGAAATTTGGCCCTATAAATAGAAATCGAAGGTCAGCCGAATATGGTTGCTATTTCATCACTCCCTCACTCTTTATACCCTCTATAGCCATCTTGAAGCACCCCCGAAGTCCCGATATCATCCTGATACCCGAAGCAAGTCCCGAAGCCGCGAATATCCGGAGAAAAAAAGTTTTCAAACTGAAACTCTACCCGCGAGAAGCCCGGTTTTTGGAGAAAATATCTCGGTTTCATCGAAGAATATTGTTTTAAGGGACGAAGCGTTGTCCAATCTTCGTCTTATCAAGTGTGCGTGTAGTCACTTTCATCTAACACATAGATATGAAGTATCTTCTATAAAATACATGCTATGTGTTTTTATATTATTTGTTTATTTGAGATGGATGTTTATTGAATGATTTATACCTGTTTAGAATGATTTAAACAGTATATGTATTTGTATCTACAAATATGTTGGGTATAACATGGGTAGATGAAATAGTTGATGCGAGACGAAATAAAATGATGAGAAGTTTTGATGATAATGATGGTCCCGTTAACTAGTGGAATATAGATGACGACCACATACTTTTCTAGACAATCCAAATGAAAGTTAACAGGCTCGTAACATGTAGGTGTTTTTGAATTATGTGTTCATCAAGTAATACTATTCAATAAGAAATTTTGAACTATGTGTTTACCAGGTATATTTGAACTAAGTGTTACTAGATGTTTTGAACTATGTGTTTACCAGGTATATTTGAACTAAGTGTTCACTACATGTTTTGAACTATGTGTTTACCAGGTACATTTAAACTAGGTGTTCACTAGGTGTTTTTGAACTATGTGTGCATTAAGTATTTTGAACTGAGTGTTTACCATATGTTTTAAACTACGTGTTTACCAGTTGTATAAAACCTTGAAAGCTATGGATTTAGTGCTTGTTGTATGAACCTCGGGCAGCAATGAACTTTGTGCCAATTCCTTAGGTTAATCCTTAGGAATTAATGAGTGAATGATGATTGATTCTTAGAGTAAATTCTTAAGAATTAAATGAAATAATGGGGATGGGTAATTGGGTTGATTGTTTGAGGATTGAATATAATAATTATATTATTGTGGGTTGAAACCCCTATATGCTCACTAGGCCCCCAAGCCTGACCCACTCAGTTTTTCTTTGTATTAGAGGTAGTGGCACCAGTGCATAAGTTGGATGACTTATCAAGATATTTTGGATATAGACCAGTAGTTGTAAATAAGTGTTGTAAGGTCTATTTAGTATTGTTTATGCTTTTGGTCTGTACCGGAACATGACATCCCGAGATTTTGTTATTTAATGAAAATACATTTCTTTAAGAAATGTTTTGATAAATTCTTATCATATTTTATTTTGGGAACAAATTCTGCAACTCTTTTAATCAAATGATTACTCTGATTTTATAAAACAAAGCATAAACAAATCGGTATTTTTTAACCGTGAAAAAGGAGATGTCACACAAAACCCTGGAAATTAGGGTTTCATCCTCCAGCTCCTACTCTTCGAGTCCATACTTGGACTCAACGAGTAGGTCACTTAAACACATGGACCAACCCGTTGCTACTCGATGATTCGGGCAACCAACTCACCGAGTAGACCTTGAAATCAAGAAAAATCTTATATCAAAAATCAATACCCGAGAATTGGGGCGTTACAATTTTTTTGAAGACCCTATCATTCCTTGTCAGCCAAATATTCCATATAAGATAGTAGAACACCATATTTACTATTTAGGATAAATTTCTTCCAAAGACGGTTCCCCCAAGCAGGTGTATAATTAATGAATTCTATAACACTTGAGAATCTCCTATTTTGAATACCACACCATTTAAATATCCAATCAATAACAACTTGAGTGTACTCACATGTGATAAGCAGATGATCGATTGTTTCATTCTCTTTGTTGCATAGAGGACATAAGGTGTTGGAAAGGCTATTCCGCTAATACCTCTATACACCAAAACATCAGCTACAAGTAATCTGCCCAGTAAGGCTCTCCAAATGAAACAACGTACTTTAAGAGGGATCAACCTTTACCAACAAATTGATTGCCCACTATATAAAATCAATATTTATTTTAACAGTGCATAGAATGTCAAAATAAAGAAATCCAACCAAATACGGGTAAATGACGGGAGTAACTATGACTCTTTTAAGGTAGCCAAATGCCTTACCATCTAATCAATTTCTACTAAGAAAAATAACCACCTATCATTCCAAACTACCACCATTCTGCTATATGACAACAATATTTGTCATTTTATTATGAGGGTTGATGTCACTATTTAGTCCAACTACTTGGGATATTTATACTTGATAACTAATAAATATTTAGAATTACTAAAGGGCTTCTTATTAGTAAATCATGTAATATTTTTTATTTTATAGTTTAAATCATTTCCTTTTTTTTGGGTAAGGAATGCAAAACCTCCTTTATATGTATATTTTTATTACTATTTATGTTTGTGTGTATGAGTGTATCCAATAGGTCGAAAGCTAAGGGGAGTAGTTACACTCTTAGCACTTTGCTACCTGAGTTTTTTTATTGTCATCTCATTTTTTTCCATTTAACATCTAGTGGTAACACTCGTAACACTTTTTTTTTTTCTTTTTCTTTTTCAAATTTAATTAAATTACTTTATTTCAATACACAAACATTTTTTATGTACAAATATTAAACAATTTTTATTTTTTTAAACCACAAACATGATCCTGAGGGGAGCTTAAAGCCATGTTTCACAATCAAAGGAAAACATCAATCGTGTTGCAAAAATTGAACATCTAACACATAAATTGTAATTTTTGTCGAATTCAAGTAAGTCAAAATGGGATACAAAACTATGGTGCTTCTAAGGATTCAAAACAAATCTGCTCTACCGAGGTACAAAACCATGGTTTCAAATAAGTCAAAATGGGGTGCAAAACCATGGTTCCAAACTTTATATTCTCAATATTCCCAAATCCCCAAACTAGGAGCAAGCTGACCAAGAATATCATGAACATCAACTGATAAATTTTATACCTTTATGCTACTACAATACCCTTCCTCAAAGAAATGAATTGCTTAAAACATACCATAACGTAGCCATTGTTTTACAAACTATCAAACCAACTCTCCATTTCAAAAGCACCGTAACAAAAGATAAAGTCATAATTTTTACTCGTTTTTTTGTTTTTGATTTTGTCTCTTCATCTTTTTTTTTTTTTTTTTTTTTTTTTATCTTGATTTCTTCTACCAAACACAGGTAATGGATAAGATGAAAGGAAAGAAACACAGAAAATTGATGGATAAGTAATCTCTCGGTCAACTCGAGTCATACATATTCGATTTCCCCATTTTCAGTTATTCTGGTATTTTTATTTATTTATTTATTTTTGCAAATTTTCAGCTTCATGTCATTCAATTTTAATACTACTAGCGTTCGTGTTTTGAACTTATACAGAGCATCCATGGATTAGACAAGATGAAGAAGCATCACACAAGCCAATAGACAGTGAAATCCTTTATAGGATGAAGCAATTCCCAGCCATGAACAAACTCAAGAAAGAGGGGTTTTGAACTCTAGCGTTCTGCGGGTTCTCAATTGGATAAGTTTGTAATTTCTTCTTTAGATTATCGTTTGTAATTCCTTTTGTGTTCTTCTCAGATAATGTTGAATTTTGTGTATATTCCGCGTATCTAATTTACAATGCTTATTAGTGCATCGATTGTTATTAGGATTTAGAAGCAATTAAGAGATGCAGATACTGATTTGGTTTTGTGGTTTAACATTGTTCGCATCTTCGATTTTTCTGTTACGAAACAGGATACGCGCTTTCTGATTGCAAAATCGATATGGATATTCTAGGAATTCAACATGATTTTTAACTTTTTAGAGTTTTATCATAGAGTTCATAGATTTTTTAACGGGGAAGGTAGAATTGTTGATTTGAGGATGAACCATCAATTTCACACTTTAGGTAGAATTGTCAAAATTCTTTTTTTTTTCTTAAATTAACTGTGAACTAATAGGTTCTATTTGATGATAGATACATGACTGTCTTATCTAGAATTGTCAAAATTCATATTTTTTTTTTTATCATTCGGAAAATATAATTTGTTTTTATACCTTTTTATTGCAGTGACTATGATTCTCGCCATTGATGATGAAAATGTGCCCAAACGTTTTTATATATGTAAATCAGTCTCATTTTTTTGGTAGTAACGTATTTAAATCTTTATTCAAGCTTGATTTAAATACATACTTTCCTTCCAAGTAGTCATCTATAGTTAGCAACTCATATGCATCAGTTTTGAATGAAATGTTATTTGACTTATATTAGTTGTTATATGTTTGAAGACCGTTTTTTCCCGCATTATGAAAGTTCATGTTTGAAATAAACATCTTAAGTCTTAACCTATGATACATGTCAAACTTTTGCTTTTTTGTTCGTAAGTTTCTATTATCACAACTTAACAATTGATATTTTATGATGGTTTGCCACACAATGATCTCCATCAAAACAACAATTCCTCGAAAGTGGTAAGTTTTTTAGAGGGTGTTTGGGTTGGTTTTTAAAATGACTTTTTATCTTTTTCTTTTTGAAAAAGTCAAAAAGTTTAATAAGATGTTTGGAAACTTTAAAAGTTCTTTTAAAATAGCTTTTGGCTAAGAAGAAAATACTTCTTTTCTAAAAGCTTTTGGTGACTTTTGGGGTTTTAGCTAAAAGTTATTCCAAACACATTTTTAAAACATCTTTTGGCAAAAGTTAAAAATCAATAAGATCTTTTGTGAAAAGGACTTTTAAAGAGAAAAAGCTCACCCAAACACCCTCTTAATGTTTCACATTTTTATCTTTAAAATGCCCTAACATTTAAACTAAAATAAAGAAGATTTACCACACGACTACACCTAAACCCTTAATTTCACTCACATTCTCCCTCGTCAACAAATTTCTTCAGCAAATATGATGTCATATATGTATTGCACTGCACAAAACACCAATCAAACTAAATACCAAGTTCACAAAAATTGATAAACATACACTTCAAGATAAAAGAGTAAAATAACAAACAATCATTCTTTCAAAATTCAAAAACTATATTTTTTACCTTTTTCTTTCGGGATATTCGGTTGATCTAACAAGAGTTGCTCGAGACTTTGTAAATCACCAACACTACAATAAACAATAACATATATTATAAATATAAATTTTTCTTCAAGAACTACATATACCATTTGTCCAAATGACATAAATACCCTTGTCATTCTCATCTTTGAAAATAAACCTAGAAAGTTTGTTGAGTCCTATATACCTTGGGTTCAAGGCAAGGCTAGCAAGCGCTGATGTCACGGATGATTTAAGCACATACCTACACCATTTGATTCAAAAAATCACCTCTGTATATTATTTCCAATTATAAAGTAGTAATATGGTAGGCTTAAAAATACTATTTGATAAAATTAAATTTATTTATGTATAGATTCATACTCTGATTGATACATCTCATGAAGGATCCGAAGGCCTTCTAAGCAATCTGAAATACTTGGTTTTACACCAATTCTGTGATGTAATTGTTTCATTGAAAGCTGAACAGAACCACCTTTCACTTGTTGTTTAGCATCACCAACAGTTTTTGCAAGTGACAAAACAACACCATTTAATTCCTCCCTGAAAACATCAAAGATATCAAAATTATTAAGCTAAATATAAATTAACTAGGATTATGGATTCTTATAGACTTACAGAGTTTTAGTCATTGAACGCAAGATCTTCTGCAGGGATTCCATCTGTTTTGTGAAGATGGTATTTTTAATGTTATCAAGGTTTTTAAGGGAACCATAGTTTTTGGGATTTTCGAGCAACTGATAAGAGGGTAAAAAAGGAAATAAAATCATCAAGAGACTGAATCTATGTATGTGGAAATTGGAATGTGAATAACCTGTAATCTTCCAATGATGGAAGAAGCATTTCTGAACTGTGATACTAATTGAGCATGGAGGTTCTCCCATCTATCCATGTCATCTTTCACCCTCTTGAATTTCTGCTGAAACTTTTTCACTGTTGCCTCCATTGTTAACCAAATCTAAAACACAAATTCTTGCCTATATTCCAGCAAGAATTACACAATTAGAGTCTCTTGATACTCATGTTAAAAGTTTAACTATTTATTTTGGGTTTACAGTTTAATGTGTTGTTAACCTCTAAATTTTGGTAAACATGTCATAATCTCAACCCCGAGTATCCTCATAATACCCAGTATGAACATCTGGAAGAATTAGGGGTTCAGAACTCTGTCAGGCATATACACAAACACATGGTATGGTGTCAACTTTTAAAGAAAGAAACAAATAGAGATGAGTAGATGAGAATGGAACAGACCTTAATCTTGTTTCGGTGCTTCCCTATCTACTGATAAAACAAAAAAAAAAATATCAGAACATTCATCGTTCCTAATCGATTTCAACTTTTAAAGAAAGAAACACGTAGAGATGGCCACATGAGAATGGAACGGACATTAATCATGCTTCGTAACTTCAGTGATTCCCTGTTTCAGACCTTAATCAATTAATCCTGCAGCTTTGGTGCTTCTCTGCTTCCTGCTTCACCAAATCGTTGCGATGAGAAATGGAGAATGGATTATTGTCGTACTACGATGAGAATGGATGTGAAACTGATGAGTGATTTCAGGTATTTGTCTCTTTATTAGTGATTTGGCTACTCCTTATTTCATTGTAGGGAATGGGCCTTCACAACAAAAAGGAAGGATCGGGATGGATAAGTTTGGATTATAAGATATACGTTATTAACTTAGTTGGTTTTAAAATTTTATTACTTATATATAAAAAATTAATATATAATAAAACTATATATAATTGCATATAAAAGAATAATTTTTTTATATATAAAAATCCTACAGTCCGGTCCAGTTTTTATATGATTTGAAAATTCTGAAACCGCAAACCAAACCGTTCACTACGGTTTCAAAAGTTTGAAATCACAAGTCAAAACGTAAAGAGAAATACAAACCGCAAAACCAAACTGATGGCCGGTTTCACGGTTTCAAACCGAACCGAGAACACCAATGTGGATCATTAAAACCCCAAAAGAACATATTCATCATAAATCAGTAAAGTCAGTAGCAACTAAAATTGAATAAAAACATGACCAAATTAAGCAATGAAACCAATAATTGGAATTCGAACAGTATGTCAGCGTAGGTATATAAAGAACACAAAAATTGGGATATGATGCAGGTAAGGGGTCATAAACTAGGATACCATGCCTCTGAAGTGTTAAAATTAAAAACCAAACTTCGAAATTATACCATTTCTTTTAACAGTACAACTTACTTACCTAAATGTTGTAGCAGCTGCAGGTTAGGGCTATGTCAAAAGGAAATGCTCCTTTAGGGAGGAAGGATCCATTCCCTCCCAACCCACTGCCACATCAATTTTTCGTTCTTTTTCATGTTCATCTTTTCCAACCCACAACACACATAAATCATATCTTTCTCAACCCACTAAATTTATAATTAAAAAAAAAAAAAAAAAAAAAAAAACTAAGATACAAGTCTTAAAACACATTGTACAAGAGAAAAGTAGAGAAAGAAAGTAGAGAGAGGTGATGAAGCGGGTTAGTGAAACCAATTAAACAACTCATCACTCCAACCCTCCCAACCCATTGAATAGGGAGTGGTATCTTGGGGGTATCAACAGTAGCTCTATTGCTAATTAAGACTTGTAGCTTAGTTGTTTTGTATTTTTTTTTTTTTTTAATTTAGTGGGTTGAGAAAGATAAGATTTTCGTGTGTTGTGGGTTGGAAAATATGAACAAAAAAAAGAACGAAAAACTGATGTGGCAGTGGGTTGGGAGGAAATTACTCCATTTTCCCTTAAGGAGGACGGATTCATCTACGGGAAGAAGATTAGTTTAGGGCGGTATCGTCAGTGAGTGGGATCAACGGGTTTGAGAAAAATTTCTTTGCAACGAGTTGATGAACTCGTGAACTACTATCAAATGCATGTCTGTAATTGTGTAACACCCGAAATTTAAGGAGCAATTTGGGTGAAAATCACCTTTTTGGGATTGGAAACAGTGTGTCGAGATAAGAAAAGACGCGGGTCTCATTGAGAGCAACAGAATGTGTTGCCTCCTGGAACATGGCGTGTTCGTTGTTGGGAATGAAACCCTAATCTTTCGGGTTTTGCTCCCTATTTAAAGGAATGAAGAGGATAGGGTTTATTCACCCTAAGCCCCCATCAGCCCTCAAGCCCTGAAAGAAACCCTAATCATCTTTCCCTCTCATTTGTAAGCTAGTATGGTGTTTTGGAGCCAAAGAAGGAAGAAGTTGAAAGAAGGAAGCAAGATCCAGCAAGCAAGCCCCTCATCTTTTAGCTTGGCATTCTCCTGGACCCTTGTAAGTATCCAAGATCTGATTTTTATCCTTCCATGTTGCTAGATCTTAAGTTTTGCTCCTTTTGCTTCTTGTTCTTGAATGTTGGAATGGTTAGATCTTATAAAGTTTGCAAATTTATGAATCCTTAGGTTAATGTGACCTTATAGAGTGTTGGATATGGCTTAAAGTTGAGTTTTGAGGCCATGCATAAAGATTAGTTCATAATCCCCATTGTTGACCTATTATGGGTTCAAGTCATGCATTGGACATGCATGTCTATAAAGCACCGACCTTTGGGATGGTTGTAGTGCTAGAAACTCTTGTGGAAAGTTTTAGGCGTCAACTTTAAGGATTAAATGTTTATTGGTTAAGTTTTTGCATCTTCAAACATTGTAAATAGGTTTTGGACCCTTTGGAATAGTCCTAAAGGATAAAGTTGGAAACTTTATCATTCTTAGTATCATTTTGGTCTAGATATGAGTTTTAGAGCTCTGGGAATTGAAGGAAGCAACTTTAAGCTGCTAGAACTCTGGAAAACACAGCATGTTTGCAAGTCAACACAACGTGTTGGCTGGGTTTTCCTGACTGTTTGGATGCAGGAGGAACACAACGTGTTTGCAAGTCAACACGGCGTGTTGGAGTCAACATGGACTGTTGACTTTGACTAAGTTGTCCTAGAAGGGTATTTTGGGTATATTTTATATATTTGGGATTGTGATGGATATTGGTCACTTGGGTGGATATGTACTGATTGGAGCTGAGATTCGGAGTCGAGACCTCATCAACTATGGATCAGATCAAGAGGTAAGTTTTCCTCACTGTACCTTTGGGTCGAAGGCACCAAGGCCGACCTATTGGTTTGATAAACTTATATCCGTTGATATGCTGAGTATGAGATAGCTATGCATGCTAGTTTGATATGTTATTCCGGTAGATCTGTAGAACTGCCTATGACATTGTTTGAATGATTATCAATATATGTTATTTATCTTTTATATGTCGGTGCATTGGGTTGGGTCGAGGCTGTATTCCTCTGTGTGGTAGCCAACAAACCCTAGGGCAATCCAGATATGAGATAAGGGTCGGGTAGGGCATGTCAGACTCATACCGAGGGCTCAGTAGCATTCTAGATAAGAGCTGAGCATCGGTTGGTGTAACATACTCGTACTGAGGGTTGAACATTTGTATGTCAGTCTAATGACTGATTGGGCGAGGGAGCAAACCAGACATACACTGTGGGCCCCGAGGGTAAACCAAACTTATGTTGTGGGCTCATGAGCAAGCCAGATATAAGATGTGTGCCCGATGGGCAAGCCAGATTCATATTGTGGGCTCATGAGTAATCCAATATTTTTGTTATGGACCCATTGCATGTTGTTATTGTATATGTGTTATTTGTTTTATGTAGGTACTTTAGGGAACTCACTAAGCTCCGTGTTTATAATTTTGGTATTGGTTTCAGGTATTTCAATGAACTGTGGCAAAGCGAATGTGAGACCGTACACATCCTTGTGTTTTTGGGACTTTTAATTCCTAAGAAACTCTGATAATGAAAGTGTTTTGAAAACTGTGTTGTAAATGATTCCAATTTCAAATAATGTTTTAGAAACAATGATTTTTATAAATACCTCTTTAGTAAATGAGTTGTTTTGAAAAATTAAAATTTATTTGAAAATTTTAGGATATTACAAATTGAAGCTACATGTAAAAATCCAAAGCTTGCTCTGTGGAGAATTTAGCCGATTGTGATGGTCTTTTGATGGAGGCGGCGAGAGAATCAAAGAATATGGAAGCGGCGAAAGAAAGATTTAGGTTTACATTATTATCACAGTTGTATGGATTATACTTTAAGTGTAAATTCATTTTAGTCCCCCTAGTTTACAAATACTATTAAAACATATTTATTTATTTCTATCTTATTTTTTCAAAGCAAATATTATAAAGCGTGTACACATTTAAAATATTTTTAATAATTTATGATTGTTTTCCAATTCATTAAATAATATTTGTTTTAATTAAATGTTATTTTTCATATAGTTTTAGAATTTTTTTTGTTTTAAATTATCAAAAATTTATTAAAAAAATATTATGTTTATTTTATTTTATATTTTTTAATTAAATTAATTAAAAAATAATAATGTCACAAGTGGGTTGGAAAAGACATGGGTTTTAATGTACTTTGGGTTAAAAAAAAATGAAAAAAAGATGAGCTGATGGACTCCCTCCTCCCTTAGAGATCAAAATGGGGTCGATTAAAGTGTTGTATCATGGCAGAAATCAATCGAGGAGAGAAGTAAATGTTCGTATTTGGGTTTTGAGGTTAAAACTTAAAAAAGGGAAAACGATTACAATTAATTAATTATATATATATATATATATATAACCACTTTTTCTTCCAGTAAAAAACAACAAAGATCGCTCCTCGTAAATTAGTTTTTCTACAGAATTCAACTGAAAGGCATAAACAGAGATCACAAAGTTATTTATTTCCGTCAAATATTCACGACAAACTAGATTATTAGTGAGAATTTAATAAACCATCTTTCCCATGATACTGAAATCAAGTTTTCTGGGAAGTCGCTAAAGACTTAATGGTCTTTGGGACTATTCCGAGTGTCAATTTTACTTTTATTTAAATTTTAATCGATAATCACGGTATTTTTAGTTTGAACGTACCAGATACATAAAAGACGATATTTATGTTTTAAGATTGGTAAAAAGAATGACATTGACTTAAGATACGACTACATCTCATGAAATGTCTACACCTCTGCATTCAAAAAAAGCATAACTACCACCATTGATGACCAGACGAAGCAATGTCCTTGACAATAAAGAGTCGAATTTAGTTGCTCAATTGAACCATTTTTGAAATGGGTCGCATTCATTAATGGTTATTTTAAACGACGTGGAATCATAAGTAGTAGCAGATCTTAGTGGGAGCCCGGTGTAGCCCCTGCTAACTTTGCGCATTGGAAATTTTTTGAGAAATTTTCCGTTATGGTGTATTTTTCCTATCAAGCTACCCTTGAAGCTACGTATGTTATCCCTATCATTTTGTTTTGGGTTTGCCACTAATCATAAGGGTAAATTTTGTCATCGCCACCTCCATCGCCTTTACAATATGATGTGGAAAAACTTGGAGGCTAAACAACAATATGAAGTGGAAAAACATGGAGGCTAAACAACGCAATTTGGTTCATAGCATTTTTGTAATATCCTAATTTTGGGCCTAAAAGTTTTGGCCATTTAGTGAAAATATATATTTTTTAAAATAAAATAAAATAAATAATTAATAATAAAACATAACTATATGATTATATAATATTTGCATTATGGTGGAATTAAGATATTATTTAAGACT